GTATGTGTTTCTCTCTCTTTCTCTCAGAATATCATTTTATTTGCATAAAAATAATTCAACATTTATTATTACTGACAAGCCACTTTTGAATTGCTAAAAAATCTCTCACAAAAAATTTCTTTGTCTAGGAACTTTTTATTCAAGCAACAATTTAAAAAATATTTGTAGATCATAATGAAAACAATGATTACCCGCCTAGACAAATCATTTCACTGATATGACTTCACACATTGACATTGATAGTATTTAAAGAATATTTTAAAAAGTTTCTCTCTCAAGTGGTTTAATGTTTCTGTTATTGTTCCTGTTCACCAAATACAAGGCCCAAGAGTCACTCAAAGTAGATAGCTACTGAATGAGGTTGGTGTAAGTGACTAAAAGCAGGTAGTAAGAAGTGAGTGTTATGATATTTAGGTAGATAATGCTCAACACTAGACTTAGGTTAAGATTTTAGTGGTCGAGGAAGCAACCTCTTGGGAGTCTGTTGCAGTGTGACAATTTTGGTGAAGAAGCTGTCTGAGTGAAAATTCCTCCTAAAACAGAAGAAAAGGTTTATCCTTTGTTTCCTGTTTAGAATTGGGTTTCTGGTTCCTTCTAAAGTCTACTCCAACTCTATACTTCTAACATCTCTATCTGAACTCTGAAACTCTATTTACTAATTAATTTTTTTCTCCTCAATAGGAATAGATAGGTTCACACCCCTCCCTATTTCTTGAGCAGGAGTAGAGGTTTATCCCTTGTTTCCTGTTTAGGATTGGCTTTCCAGTTCTTTCTAAGGTTCTTACATTATTTTTCACTCCCAGTAGCTCCTTGTATCTTAATGACATTATTGCCTTGCTTGGGGTGAATTGATTAAAATAACAAAACATATATAAAGGTGTGTGTATATATATATATATATATATATATATATATATATATATTTAAATATGTTTGAAAACAGTACAGAAACGTATTATGGCATAAAAAGCAAAAAAATTTATATTATAGGCCATGATAGATTTAAAACAAAAACACAACAGTCGACTGGTTTTGTCCTCTCTCATCAGAACTCTTAACGAGGAACACAAATTATGAAGAGAAAAAAAACAAAAGTCTGTTATGGATAACATGATGAATGGACAGGGAGAGAAAAAAAATATATAATTATAAAAATTATACCAACAAAGATGCTAGAAGCGCAGCACAGCAAGTCCAAGCAAACAATCTCTTTCTTTACAAAGAGAAGGTCGCCTGGACCTGATGTACAGTGTCTCCAACACCTTAAAATGGAATAATGAGTGTGCTCTGGCCAAAACGGAAAACCAGTTCACACTGAAATCCATCGCACAAGTGGGATTCTTTATAAAGTGATCCGCAATCGAAGAGCCATACATGTTACGAATGGTATCGCCCAAAGAAAAATTTTTATTCAGTATTATAGCAGGTACATGTTTAATTCTAACGTCCAAACGCTGTGTCGTTCTACCTATGTAGTCACATCCACAACTACATTTGAAATGGTAAATAACAGAATTAATATGGTGGGGGGTAGAACATCTTTACACATAGATGAAAGTACGGACTTAGTTTGAAATACAACACGAACATTCGCTGCAAAATAACACTCACGTGAACTGCATGAAATATGCTTGGCGAAGGATTCACTAATCCTACCCAACCACAGTAAACGAAGATAGACCAGACATTTACCCACTATAGCAGGTTTGATTTTATTAAACCTGGCAGTCTTATCCCGAATAACCGATTGAACAATGTCCAATGGATAACCATTGTTCACAAAGATATCAGTTAAACAACTGATTTCATCTTTCAAGGTGTTATTAAAACAAATCATTAACGCCCTATGGGTCAAGGTCTTAATCAAATTGATCTTTTGTCGTTTAGGACAAAAAGAGTCCCATCGAGTATAAAGACCTGTAAAGGCAGACTTCCTATAAACAGAAGTGATAAACGAGGAAGGAGCTCTGTGAACAAGAACATCTAAGAAGGGCAATGAACCATTGACCTCCTTACCTACCGTAAATTTAAGGGCAGGATGAACACCATTGAGTAGGGAAAAAAATTGATCCACTTCCAATTCATGGCTGAACACACAAAAAGTGTCATCCACATACCGAAAGTAAACCGTGGGCCGGGCAGAACCTAACAAAAGGCTTTCCTCGTAAATACCCACAAAAATATTTACCAAAACAGGACCCAAAGGGGAACCCATTGCTACACCATCGATCTGACAATACATGATATTGTCGAAACTAAAATTGACAAACATGGTGGCAAATTTCACGAGTTCAACGAAAACATCTTCGGGTATGTTTGGAGGAGTCAAATCACTACGATATAACATATCGCTACAAATATCAATAGTCTCCGATAAAAGAACACAAGTGAAGAGGGCTACAGATGTCAAACAAACACATAAATCCATCAGTGGCATCACAATTCCGAATGAATTTGGAAAAAGAAAATGAATCTTTAATACAAAAGGAACTATAATGCTGCAACACTGGTTGCAACATTATATCAAGCCACTTTGCGACTTTATGCTGGGAAGACCCAATCATCAATGATATGGGTCTCAACGGGACACCCTCCTTATGAATCTTGGGTAATCTATACAGACAGGGATGAATAGAGCCAGACGGTCTCAATTGCTCTGCCATTTCAGAAGAAAGAACACCGCTTTTTACCCATTTGACAAGACGTTTCTGAAATCGAATTTCAGAAGTCAGCGTAGAGTCATGAGTGTCAATGGAACCAAGATGTTGAAACTTGGAAGGATCATTCAGTATACTTAACATTTTGTTAATGTAGTCATGGCGATCCATGAGGACAACACCTGATCCCTTATCCGGTTTCGTAATAACCAAAGAATGGTTATTCTTAAGGGATCTAATAACCTTATGGTGTTCACTTCTCCATTTCGATTCAGAGAAAGAAATAGGAGAACTAGCATAAGAATGAGCCAAATCATTCAATTTGGCTTGAAAGTCGCTGGATTTATCACCAGACACAGGTTGAAGCTTCGAGAGTTGTGCATAAAATACTTCAAATTCAGAAAAAATATTCTCCCAACTAATAGAAGTAAAAGGGATGCTAAAGTCTAGGCCATGGGCCAAGATAGCAAACTCAATCTCTGAAGGAGAATAAGAGGACAAATTAACTACATTTTTTGTAGCATTTGGTTCAACCATTCAGCCAAATCTTTTGCCGATAAGATGTTTTAACTTATTCTGAAAACTGCCAGCCATCTTAGAATGACAACACGCAGATATCAAACCAACATAACGGGCAAAGTGGATCCTATCAAAATATGATAAATAATTACCTGCCTCACGCCATAACAGATAATATCTTCTTTGTAGGCCCAAATCTTGGTTAGAAAATTAGATTAGGTCTAAAATTGAAACATTGAAGGTGAAGACAACTTTTTTACATTCTTGTCTTCAGCACCAGGTTTGCCCACCTTTTATTTCCTTTCGGATTAGGCGGGCTAAGTTGTTGTCTGGTTAGAGTATAGGGAGAGCCTTTATTAAGGATTTTCTCTTACAATTTTCTAAAAAAAATTATTTCAGTTGAGCTCTTTGGGGGGGGGGAATGAATTTGTAAACAGTGACTATTACTGCTGCTGATTCAAGACTTCATTAAGATGAATCAAGTTCTCCAGTCACTGGCATGTTTGTCTAAAAAAATAAATATGTCTAAATTCACTGTCAATCCTTGCTGTGTGCCAATGGCTTAAGATGTGTTGGACTGCACCATTGTTGCCTCACTAAGACAAGCAGGACAACTCTTTTCTAGGTAATTTTCACAATAGAAACAGTGACATTCAGCCATAAAAAAGAAGCATACACCATTGTAGAATCTCTAAGAAAGTGGGAACATTACCTATTAGGCTTCCATTTCAAATTAATAATGGATCGAAAGTCATTGGCATTTATGTTCAACAATAAAGTAATAAGTAAAGTAAAAAAAACAAGAAAATAAGCCTGATGGTGGATGGAACTCTGCTTGTTTCTTGTTTGATGTCATCTGTCACTCCAGGAAACAAAATGCTGTAATTGACATACTTTCAAGAATGTGCAGTGCGATAACCTGCAAAAAAAAAGGCCTCCTCAAGCTACACAAAAGTCTATGACACCTGGATGTAACAAGAATGCTACATTTAATTTGAATTAGAAACCTACCTTTCTCCATGGAAAATGTAAAAGAAACTATAAGGAACATTCGGATATGCACTGAACTAAAACCAAAATTTTATAGACATATGAATGGTAGTAAATGCCATGCAACTGTATGAGAGGTTTGCTCTGGAATTCAAGATTCCACTCCCATGTGAAACTAAAATCAAATATCTATTAACAATAATAGATGAATTCTTGCATTTCTCATTTGCTATTCCCTTTTCTGACATAACTGCAAAAACATTAATCCAGGCTCTCTGTTCCCCCTTCTCTGTATTCAGGTTACTTGCCTATATTCACTCTAACTGAGGGAGTGCCATTATGTTTGATCTGGTCAGATAGTTCCTATATGAACAAGGAATAGCCATTAGTAGGAATGTTCCATATAACTCACAGGGTAATGATCAGTGTGAAAGATATAAGGGTGTGATTTGGAAAACTATACAATTAGCAGCAGCTGATCTTGAGTACTCTATTGACAGTTGGGAAAGTCTAATACTGACTACCTTAAATGCCATGAGATCACTACTATGCATGGCGACAAACACCACTCCACATGAATGATTCTTTTTGTTTTCAAGAAGATGCTCTACAGGCACTTCACTGCCATCATGGCTGTCAGAACCAGAGACAGTGCTATTAAAATGCCATGTACACCAGAATAAGCAAGAACCAATAATAGTGGAACTGATAGAAGCTAACCCTCAATATGTCTTAATATGCTATTCTAACAGAAGGCAAGATATGGTCTCTCTAAGAGACCTTGTCCCAGTGAGAGGGGGAGTGAACCAGAAACCTCCCAAGAACCTAGGATGC